AGGATTTTTTTTTTTTTTTTTTTATCTTTTCTTATTCTTTCCCTTGTTTTTTGTTTTATTATTCTATCATTTTTTTCTTTCTTTTTCTTTTCCTTCTCTTCCTCCAATTACGTACCTTCTTCCCAAAACGTGACCGCCTACTCCCACAAATCTTTCCAAATTTTCTTTTTTCCGTCTTTTTCTTTTTTATTTATCAAATCTGAAATTATTGTTTAGTTTGTGATTATGCAAGAAGAATATAATTATAAATGGTGGGATCTACTGTTAATATAATGGAACACTGATGAAAAATCTGCAAAATTTGGCTGGAAAAATTGATTTCTATGGTCGGAAAACGTTTTGGCGAGGGAATTCCTTCACAACCTGATTATTTTTCTTGCAAATTTATGGACCGATAATTAAAGAAAATTCTACAATCCCGAATCCTTCACATTGTTTACTTCTCAAATGATTTAGAATAAATCTGCAATTGTTGAGTTGTTTAAAAAAAATTATCTTCTTAAAAAACTAGTTACACTAAGGGTAATAGATGAGAGAGAGAGAGTGAGGTCGTGGTCACCAACCAGCCAAGTCACCGGGGCGGCAGCGGCTGCAGACCCTATAAGAGAGAGAAGAGTTGCTGGGGAGTTGGAAAAATGGGGGATGCGGCTATGGACTTAGGAAAATAAGAGGGTGGAGTATATAAATTAGGGTTTCAATGGCGGAGAAATTTGGGGGTTGCGACCAGGGGTGTATGCAGGAATATTTTTAAGCGGTATCAAAATTTATAGAAAAACTGGAATATAACTTTGATTATCATACTTTTAGACAAGAAATGGCTTTAGTCTATTGATTTTGTTGAGCCTTAAGTTAGAAAAGATCCTGAGTTCAGTTCTACTTCATCATAATTTTTAAACACAAATATTTGTAAAAGAGAAATGTGCTAGTTGAGGTTTGAACCTTTGACCTCTTAGAGCAAATTCAAGCACATAACAATCAAGACTCAATTTATATTAAGTGGTGTCATTTTTTCCTACTTATCCGTTTCTGTATAGTATTAATACATATATTTGATAAAAAACTTCGACGAAGCGGTGGTGGCATCGGCCATGTTGCTAGTCGGGTAGAGGAAGAAAAGAAATTAAAAAAGAGATAGAAATAGAAAAGAAAAGAAAAACTAAAAACTATATATATTTAATAAAAGGCATATTAGAAATAAAAATTTAGTATTAGTTTTTGTTGCTCGTGAAATATACTTACTTTGCCACGTAAGTATTTAGGGAGGTAATAGTTTTATTTTAAGTTTAGGGGGTAATAAGACCTCCGAAAAAAATGTGTAGTTGAAACTTCGGTCATAGGTTAGGGGGTACTTATGCATTTTCCCATTTGTTAACCTACTATTTATATATGTTATGAATTCTTTTAAAACCACTATTTAAGTGGGCGTTTGGATATAAGAATTGTAAAATTACACGAAAAAATATAAGTGAAAATAATGTTTGAAAAGTAGAGTTGTGTTTAGACATGAATAGAATTTGCGTTGTTTTTGAATTTTTATGAGTGATTTGAAATAAAAATATTGAAAAATAGCTTTTTAGAATTTTTAAAAAATTTGAAATTCAACTTCAAGTAAAAATTAAAATTTTCATGGACAAATATTGATTCCGAAAAAAATAGAACGGGCCAAACGGGCCCTAAGTTGAATACAACGTAGAACGTAAAGACACACTTGAGCCAAGGAGGGGTACAGGCCTAGCTGTACATCATGAGTGGGTCCTACATCTTTTATTTTGTCCACAATTAGGTCCGTTGTTTCAGAATTTCGAACGTTTGTATTGTTTCTGAAAATTTTTGAACTTTCCACCCTCTCGTAATTCGAACGTTACTGAAAAAACCCAACAAAACGGCTATAAAAGCAGAGACTTCGTCATCTTCAATTCCTCATTCTTTCACTCCTAAACTCTATTTCCTGCTTCTTAATTTCTCTGTTTATTATATCAATATAGATCAGGGGAAAATGGCAGCAGTAAGAATCTTGAAACTTACCATGTTCACCATTTTCACTCTGATTTATTTAGCAGCTACTAAAATCACAGCTCAGGAAGGCGATTTTGCTCCGGCACCGGCACCGGGAATGGACGCCGGAGCTGGGTCTCAGCTCACTTTGTCAACTGCCTTGATTTACTCTTCTCTCTTCTTATCTTTTATGGGTTTCCTCTTGTATTAATTTTATTTGAACACCAGTGGAGTATTACATTTATGTTTTTTTATTTAGTTTTTGGGCCTTAATATTATTAGTTAAGGTCTGAAGGTATCTGATTCTTGTACTACTGTGATGTATGGGTGTGGATTTTCTTTATCCAATTAAGATGAGTGAATTTTATTTTGCTTTTTGGTTTTTTCCATTGCTCTGTTTCCCAATAATTGATTCTATGTGGATTGTATCGTGCAAAGAAAATTTGGGGTATTTTTGATAACTTTTTACCTATTGTAAATTGAATGTCAATATTTCGTATATTTGAGCGCTGAAATTAAAAAAAAAAAAAAAAAAAAAAAAAAAAAAAAAAATCTAAAACAAGGAAACCTTTGACGTCGAGTTGAGATTAAATCATCTTGAAATAAAAAAAAAAAAATCTTTTGAACACTATTATATTTTGATCGAATTAAATATCTTGATGGCAATATTAACCAAATAACTAAAACTAATTACTGTGTTGGCGAAAAAGCTCAGAACTCATAAGCTGAATTTTTAAGTCCTGACTGGGGTTCTCGAGTTGAATCGTGGCGCATTGAACAATCTACTTCAAATTAGTGTCTAGCTGCAATCTGCCGAGAGTTTATCGAAAATATAGCTTGTAAAGGTATGCAAGATTTAATATTATATATATATATATATATATATATATATATATATATATATTATCCTAATGTAGCATCCTTGATATTTATCTAGTAGACATATCTAAATATTCTAGAATGTTGTGGGAAGATAAGACATCTGGATATCCTAGAGTATTGTTAGAAGATAAAGTTGCTAGAATCTTCTTTGTACATTATCTAGAATCATCCATAGGCTAGCAGAGGCGGATAACCTAAAACTGATATACAATATCAAACCGACTAAAGAATAAGTATCGATATTTAATATATAGTTAAAAAGTAACTAAAGACAAACACAATATATGAATATAAACATTATCATTTCAATTGCACTCGACGAGTTGTCATATTTTGAAAACGATCAATGATCGCATCATTAGATACACTTTCAAATACTTCATCCTAAAAAACAAACTAAACAATCATTCAAAAAGTCATCACCAATCTTGCTTCGCAAATCATTTTTAATAAACTTCATTGAAGAAAAAGCCCTTTCAACCGTTGCAGTAGCCACAGGTAATATCAAACTCAGCTTCACAAGCAAATAAACAAGTCCCCATGTCTTGTAAATATTTATTTTAACCAATGTCTTTGACAGATCACCCAGCGCTTTCAAGTTAGAGAATGCATTGTCCATTTCTCGCACATAGTCAATATAGTTGTCAAGCTCATAACTAAGATCTTCAAGCTTAGAAGCGGGGAACTCATTTGGATAATATGTAGCAAGTTTCATAATCTTGTTTTTATCATAATTCGCAAAAGAATCATCGGGACTCAAACTAGCCATACCAAGAAGCAGAGAAGTATTCACTTCACTAAAACGACTATTAAGCTCCGAAAGTTGCAAATCAATAGTAGCACAAAAAACCTATACGTACAAATGATGGGAATATGTAACAGTTGAGCTTTTACGCTTCGACTTTCCAAGTGCATACTTCTCATCCATTTTTGGGATCACAATACCATTCTTATCACAAAACGAAGAGACATCTTCTATCAAAGAATTCCATTTAGATTCTCTCATTGTTTGCAATTGCCTCTTTGTAATATCAATAAGTTTCATTGCACTAACAATATCTTGATCTTTTTTTTGTAGGGCCATATTCAAATCATATGTAATTGCTAATAGTTTTAACATCAAATGTAATATACAAACGAACTCATAAGATCTTATATCTTCCACTAGATTTTTGGCTAATGCTTTCTCCTGATAATTTGAACCCTCATTTGCAAGAACTCCAAGTATATGAACAATCGATGAGATTAAAGAAACAAAGTTACGCAATGTCTTAAAGTGAGATCCCCAACGAGTATCACCTGGTCTTTGAAGCCCAAGTTCTTGGTTTAATCCACTTCCTGTATGAACTTCACCAAGCACTAATAACTCATCTAATTTTTTAGCTTGATCATCTCTAAGCATCTCCCTACGCTTATAAGAACCTCCAACAACATTCAAAATATTAGCAAGAATGTCAAAAAAATTATTTACATCATGGTGTTTCTTTGCAACAACTACAAGAGTCAATTGCAACTGATGAGCAAAGCAATGTATGCAATGTGCCGAAGGATTATCTTTCAGAATCAAAGTTTTAAGACCATTGATGTTTCCTTGCATGTTACTAGCTCCATCATACCCTTGTCCCCGTATTAAAGATGAACTCAATGAATGTTGTAAAAGCAAAGAATATATTTCATTTTGTAATGCATGTGCACTTGTATCTTTAACATGAACAAGGCCAAGGAATCGCTCAATAAGTTCACCCTCTTTATTGACATAGCGCAGAACAAGAGCCATTTGTTCCTTATGAGAGACATCTTTAGACTCATCAACTAATATCCCAAATAAATCCCCATTCAAGTCTTCAATAATTGCTTTCACCGTTTCTTTTGCACAAGAATTCACAATATCTTTCTGAATATCAGGAGAAGTCATGGTATTATTTTTTGGAGCTTTTTCTAATACCACATTTTTCACATCTTCCTTCCTATCTGCATACCATTTTAAGAGATCTAAAAAATGGCCTCTTCTAGTAGAAGTTACACTCTCATCATGGCCCCGAAAAGGAATTCCTTCTTTCAAAAGATACCTTATCACATCAATTGAAGCATTCAAACGAACTCGATGATCACTTTTAATTTTCTCAGATTGTTTGTCCAAAGAAGTTAGAATGGATTGTTCTTGGTTCATTAAATCTAGCATCATATTGAAACATCGATTATGAACACTACCCACGTTACCCACATGTGAATTAAATCTTTCTAAAGCTTTATTCCAACCTCTAAAACCATCCGTTGTGAAAGCATCACCTACTTTTTTTCCATATCCTCCAACCTCATTTTTAAACAAGTAACAACATAAACAAAATGTTGCATCTTGTTTAATGCTATATTCTAACCATTGAGAACATGAAATTTTAAACCATTGAGGATTAAAGTGACGCATTATTCCCCCAAAATCTCTTTTTGGAAAGACAAAATCACGGGGTTGACAAGCTCTATTTTGTATATAATTTCTCCTTATACGGTTACGTAAATTAGGAGGATATTCTGAAATTGGTTTTCTTTTAGCAGGATCGGGCTCATAGTAGCACACTTTATCCGATGCTTGGGAATGATTAATATTGTTATTAATAACTGGACATGGAGAACTTGTCAAAGGAGAGCTAGAAGAAGTTGCAGAAGCTTGAGCTTGGTAAAAACTCGTGATCATATCGACTTTTGCTAGAAAAACCTAAAAATCACAAAATAGAAATTTACTTGAAGTAAAAGAGTAAATCATCATGTACTTTATTTCAATTACAAAAGTATGAGACGACATCTAACTTGTGTCAAGTTGCATCAATCAACACCAAATTTCCAGATTCAAGCAAACATCTTCATTGTCTGTTTCAATAATTAAAACCGTGCTTAGTTGTCTACTTGTCTTATTGATTTGATTATTAGTTATGACAATTTACTTCACAAATTAATAGAGGAAAAAGCAAAATTTAGGACCCTAAGATTCTTTCTTTGCTGGTCCCAAAATAAAACTAATGAAACTTAGAACTTTTGTCAAGATGGGTAGGGTTGGTGTGAAGCAAACTTTACCTCATGAGATAAACTGACGAACCCTAGCAGAGGAAGCAGCAGAACCCTAGCTTTTTCTTTGATTTGGGAATTGGAAGAAAACCCAGCAGAACCCTAGTTTTTTTTATTTGGGAATTGGGAGAAAAAGTTTGTCTTTAAAAAATTAAAAGCCAGAAAGCCTTTGTTAAACAAAGAAAGAAGCAAAGACTTCTGTTAAACAAAGAAAGAAAACGAAATAATGTAGGAGTATTAAAGAAAGAAACACGTTGCTTCTATTAAACAAAAGAAACTTTAAGTACTTAAGTTAGAAAACGATGTCGTAGTAAAAAATGTATTAAAGAAACGAAACAAAAAAAACACTGCTTTAGTGGGGAATCGAACCCATATCTTTTTCCAAAGAACCCACAACCCTTACCATTGAACTCATACCTCTTTTGTTACTGGGTTCAGCATGATATATTTATATAGATGTGGTAAATATTTCAATACAAATACAGGGTTTCGAAAAAAGTCACTGGGTTCGCCCGAACCCGCACCCACTACTGTACCTCCGCCCCTGTAGGCTAGTATAAATAGGGGTTGTGTTCATTTGTAATGAAACTAAAAATCAAGAAAGCCTACTTTCCAAAACAAGTTTTCCCATCTAAAATCTACTAGTCTTGCAAAGCTCGTGCTGAGCCCGAGCCCCAAATCAAGGCAATAATAATTAATGATAATAATAACAACAACAACAACAATAATAATAATAATAATAATAATTTGTGTTACGTTTTTAGGCATAACTTTTTTATGATCATCGCTTCTTACCCATTTATTATTCAGTACATTATTTATGTTTTCTGATCATATCATTATATAATATTAAAAGAAATATTTATAAGAAAACAAATGTGCTAAGGAATAAGCATATATCACTAGGACAAAGGTGACTTGATATTTATTAACATAATTTAAAGTATGCAAAATGATTTCAAATGGACTATAATCATAGATTAAAGAAGATATTTTAATATTTTATGAATTTGTGAGCATATTATTTCTATTTAGAGGTAGAAATAAAGAAGATATTTTAATTGATTATTTTGGTATTTATTGATTAACTACTCATAATTTCGTATGACCATAGTTTATGCCATAAAAAATATGGTGATTAAAGCCTAGGTTTAGATGAAATTCAGAAAAATTCAAATTTATTAAAACAAAGTCCAAGAATTAACTTAGATTATCATTAACTCATTAATGCTTTATTTTTAAAAGAAAATTCCGATACCCAACCAATTAATGATTATATGATTTCTGACAAATTAAATTATTTTAAGAAAAATATATATCTTTGTTTCAATAGCATGTGACCATCAACCGTATTTAATAAATGTGAGATTACAAGTTGATCACTTGCTAAGCACTTCTCCCTTTTCTTTTGTTCTATCCCCATTTGATTAACTAAATTGGATAAAATTTAAATATTTTTTAATTTTATTTTCAAGATTCTAATCTATTAATTTTAGAAAAGTTTTGAAATTTATTTTCTATTGTATAATTGAGTTAAATCACTAAATCTAAATTATATTTTCAAAATAATTTTTCTATTAAAAATAAGACCGAAGAGAAATTTAATTATAAGTTTAGAATTATTATGAAAATTTGATCGACAGGGTACTCTCCCATTATCAAATAAATTCTTCAAGGTTTTTGTTATCAGCATTGTAGATTTATCTTTGTGCATAATTAGTCATCATCATTCACAAATTTTCAAGCATTTTTGAAAGGCTCAGAGAATAATATATTTACCAAATTAAATATAGGAACCTAAGCAAAAAATAAATAAAGTAGGGGCAAAAAACTTATGGTGCATACTTCACCTGCAAAAAGTTAGGTTAAGGAGCTATGTATTACCAAAAAGGGTTTGAAAGTATCTTGATTTATTAGAAACATATTTTTGTATATGAAGTAATAAATAATAAATACAAGGACATATTTGAAAGAGCAAACCCTTTTTGTTGGCAAGCTAACAAGATAGTTACAGTGTAGCTAAGGACTACAAAACTCTTTACATGGTCCTTTATATATAGTAGTAATCTTCTCTTTTCAAGCTTCCTCTTCTTTAGTTGAAATTTCCAATCTTAGTTAATGATCTTGCGCTAGTAGAATGTTTCCAAATAATATTCTTCTTCTGCTATTCTTTACATGGTATCAGTACCATAAGACGACTTCTGGATTTCAAGGTCGGGTTAGTGGTTGATTCAACTGGTTTCTCTAAATGGATTTGGATGGTCGTGCTAATGGATTGGGGTTTGAGTTATTGAACCAGTCCAACTATAAGGTATGGAAAACTTGTAATGAACCTTGTTGGTGAGGATTTGTGGGAAGTTGTCAATGGGAGTAACACAAGTGCTCCTGCTGACGCACCGAAAAATAGCAATGCACGTAAGAAGTGAAAGTAGATTAATGCTAAGGCGGAGTTTATCCTAAAGAGGTTTATCTCTCCTAATTTATTTGATCATATTATAAGGTGTAAATCAGCTCATGAAATATGGAGGACCTTCGATCGACTGTTCAACAAGAAGGATGAAGCTCGGCTACAGATTTTGGAGAATGAGTTAGCTAACACCACTCAAGGTAATCTCTCTATCGGTGAGTATTTCTTGAAAGTTAAAAAATTGTGTTTCGAAATTTCTCTATTGAATCCAGACGAGGCTACCTCTGAAGCACAAATAAGAAGAATCATTATTCGTGGTTTAAAGCTAGAATATATTCCATTTGTTACATCGATTCAAGGATGGGTTCAACAACCATCTTTGGAAGAATTTGAGAATTTGTTGTCGTCACAAGAGCTACTAGCCAAACAGATGGATGGTGTATCTATCAAAGAAGGGGAAGGAAATGCTCTTGTCGCCGATAAGAGAAACTATAAATGGAAATTAAGAGATATCATGCACTTTCAATCCTCAAGTGGTTCAAGATCGCTAGGAAAGAAGGGGGAATCTTCCAGTAATGGTAAAAAGCTTCTAAAATATTACCGTTGTGGCAAAGTCGGGCATATAAAAAGATATTGTCGAGCCAAAGAGAGCAATATGGCTCAAACCAAGAAAGTTGTTGAAGAAGAAGAAAAAGAAGAAGACTGGAAAAGTGCTTCGCAACGGAGACTCAAGTAATAAATGTCATGGCTTCCATAAATTTTGAAAGAGACTGGATTGTGGATTCAGGATGTGGGCACTATCTCACTAGATATCAATCCAAATTCTCCACCTTTCACGAATACAACAGACAAGATATCATTGTTACAGCAGATAATAGGTCCATGATGTTGAGAAGGAAGGCACTATTGTGATCAACGAGAAGCAAAAAGACACTATCACCCTCAACAATGTCTTTCATGTTCCAGGAATGAAGAAAAATCTATTTTCAGTTGCAAATGTTCCTCCGAAATATCAAGGTACTCAAGGCAGATATCGTTCACTCAGGTAAGAGAGTTAACGATTTATATGTCTTATCTACCTCTAATTTATATATTGAGAAAATGAGTAGCAATGATAATACACATCTTTGGCATGCTAGACTTGGACATCTAAGCATGGATAAATTAAAAGCCATGGTAAAGTTAAATCTAGTAAAAGGTTTGCCTAACTTAAGAAATTTTGGTGGAGGAGAGGTTTGTGAAGGATGTCAATATGGTTTGCATATCGGATTCCATTAGACAGATCCTTGTCAAGGTGCAATGCCCAACTAGAACTTATTCACAGTGACTTGATGGGGCCAACGAGAACTCCTTTATTTTCAGGTTATTCTTATATGCTAATTTTCATTAATGATTTTACTAGATTCACTTGGGTTTATTTTGTGAAGCACAAGTCAGAAGTTTTCAGTAAGTTTATGGAGTTCAAAGAAACAGTTAAAGGTGAACTCAATTCCAGAATAAGGCGGTTGCGAACTGATAATGGCGGTGAGTTCACATTAGATGAGTTTCTTTCCTTTTGTCATCAGCATGGCATTAAAAGAGAGCTAACATGTGCTGACACACCACAACAAAATGGAATGGCTGAAAGGAAGATCCGACATTTAACTGAGACATGTAAGAGTTGACATAATGCCAAGAATTTACCTAGAGCCTTGTGGGCTGAAGGTATGAAATGTGCAGCGTACGTGATTAACAAGATACCGCTTTCTCCAAACAATATGAAGTCTCCCTATGAATTAATATTTGGAGAAAAGCCTAGCGTGAAACACCTCAGGGTTTTTGGCTCTATTTGTTATGTTCACATTCAGGATTCTCAACGGAGCAAGACAGATGTCAAGGTAAGAAAATGCATATTTGTCGGATATGATGAAAGAAAAAAGGGATGGTAGTACATGGATTCTAAAACTCATCTCTTTGTTGTCTCAAGGGATGTCATATTTGATGAAGTGTCTTTGTATTATGGAGCTGCATTGGATGGAGCGAGTTTCAAAAGCTTAAATAATGGAGATTCAAGCTTGCCCATTGCAGATGCTTCTCTAGATAATACAAATGCCGAGGAGTTAAGAGAAAGGGGGAGTCCTGGACCTCAACAACATGAAACTCAACAAGAAAATGATTCAAGTGGTTTGGGAAGGCCAAAAAGAACTATTATCAAGCCACCTCGCTTCATAGATAAAAATTTTGTCAGTACGTATTCCTATTTCTTTGCAGGACCAATTGATGATGAAGAACCTTCCTCATTCGAAGAAGCTAAAGGAGTCAAAGAGTGGGAGCTTGCTATGGATGGTGAAATGGAGGCTCTGATGAAAAATCAAACTTGGAGCCTTGTACCAAAGCCGAAGGATGTACAACCCATTTCTTGTAAATGGGTTTACAAAATCAAAAGAAGAGCAGATGGCAGCATAGATAGGGCATAAAGCAAGGCTGGTTGCTCGGGGATTTTCTCAAAAGTATGGTAAAGATTATGAAGAAACTTTCAGTCCGGTGGCTAAGATGATCTTTGTCCAAGTTGTGCCAGCCTTGGTAGCCTCCCATAATTGGAAGTTGTGAGCACGTGATTTTTGCCTCATACGAATTACTCCAAAATAACTCCCGAAATTAGGTCTTTTCTTTAATTATGTGTTATTTTTAGGAAATATTGTGCGGTTTTCCTGTTTGTTTGCATAGGTATGTGTGCATGTGTAATTTAATTAATGCATTTAAAAATACAAAAAATAATATAATGTAATATGTGTTGCATGTGCATTTAGGAATTAACAG